GTACCTGTGCAGATTAGGTGGCGATGGAAGGGGGCGGAGACTGGCTGGAAACCAAGCACTTTGCTGCAGGCCTTTTTTTTGGGTCAGAGCCATCTCCTGGGAGATGGTGGTCAATATCTGGCCTCGACTTTGACCCACTGCAGGTCTGCTCAGTGTGAGTTTTTTCTTATTGACGCCTTCATAAATCACTCTGCGGGTTCAAGCCTACAATCGTACACCTTTGTTGTATTTATGCAGGCACAGTCATGTTTTCTTGTGTCTCATCCCTAAAGGAGACTGAAGCTTGATAAGCTTTTTTCTTCATTTCAACATTTAATTGACTCTGGTGTCATATTATATTTGTAACCTTCATTTCACAAGTGTCCACTGAATGAAAACTAGCAGGTGTCACACTTACATGCATCACAATGTGCACTTTTATGACAATTCAAAACATTTACAATGTTGTGCAAAAAGTCAATTTCTGCAGAAACTGCACGAGGAACACACAGCACGTATTTTCACTCGTCACAGTGGGTGTTATTAAAACCTTTAAAAGACTAAAAGTAGCTCTGTGCTAGTCAAGTTTCCCAGTAAGCTGCAGTCATGAAGTGCATGTTGGAGGGTCAAACAGGAAACAACTCCCTGCACACCTTTCTGAAGTCACATTAGAGAGAGCTGTTTCTATAACTATCTAGCATTCACACCCACTTCACACAGTGGTTGGCCAGCTGTGCATAGAACGCCACAAGTGCCTTTTAGAAGAGACTGTCTGAAAATGTGTGCTGTTTTCAACATATTTTACAATACTGAACCTCTCGCCTTTCCCGGTGAAGTGTCTGGAGCAGGTGCACACGCTCTCTGAGAAGGTTGTACGCAGCTGAATCTGCCAACATGCACAGCAACATGACCCTGAAGCTGAAGCAGCTAAATGAAATCCAGCCATCAGTAAAAAAAAGAAAAGTGTTACTGTTTCACGTTACATTCTATCCTACAATGAAAACTAACATGTTAATGTTCTTGCAGGTGATTGGTCATGGGGAGCTATAATCTGGACTTCAGTTGGTTGGTCTGTCTCTGTTGGTCTTGGCCTGCTTTGCTGCATCTACGTGGCGACGCTACATGAGAACGACCTGTGGTTTTCCAACATAAAGGTAAAGACTGTTTACGGTCACAGACCCGACACTGTGGAAGTGGGAAGAAGAAACGAGCCATTAATGAAAGAGCAAATGCTTTCTAAAGAATGACTGTGATTTACAGAATAAACTTCCTGTTTTATACATTATGCAGAAAGTAATCAGGGAAATGTTTACTGAGGTCCCAGCAGGAGGGGACTGAGGGACCCTGTCTCATAGATTTGTTTTTTGCAGCTACAATCGTCGCCCCCTGCTGGTCGTTGAAAAAAAATACGGGTTTAGACCTTGCTGCACTGGAAACTACATCCATCTTTTATACTGTTTATTAGCAACTGCAGGAAAGAAGTTCACTTTCAGCCTCTGGTTTGAGTTCCCAGACACTTACCGAGAGTTTTAAAAATAAGAGGTGATGCAACCCTGTGGTAAACATTGCTTCTTTGAAATGTGCTGCTGGAATCAGATTCAAGTTGAGCGTGGGAATTTAAAGGCTCTGCAGATCACCTCTTTATGTTTTCATCTGTTTTATATGTATGTCCGAACTTTTTATAGAGATAGGGAATTGCAGATGTCTCAATAGGAATTAGCCTCTGGGTGGCTGTATGTCTTAGTGACAGCTTATCTTAAAGTAGTGCCAGTGAGTTTGTGTCAGTAGGAGCTGGAAAAGTTGGAAAAATGTGGCGCTGTTTAAATTTTATAAAGCTTTTGTTAAAAAGCAGTAAAGCTGCCTGGATTGATGTATTTGGCACTTGTCTAACAAAGTTATCTGAGGATTTGACGTCCATGTGCACGATTCATTAACCACATCACAGATGTGGATATTAACTGATGGAAAAGTGTCACACGGTGTGACCGTTAAGCCAAAAATTTCCACACACGTTTTGCGCTTATCTAACGTAGCTTCGACATCAGTGCCAGGGACATCCTCTCGTCCAGTTTCCTTCCTAAAATGGTCTTCAAACACGTCATCAAAGCAATCATCCTAAAATGGGATGATTGCTTTTCCACGCGCTTCATGGGATGAATTTTCAGGGCTGTTATGTGAACCACATGAGATCCTGAATCATCGCGGTTGTTTCAGGC